CTATATGTGGACATACAATAAAATAAATAAAAATAAATATTAAGTTGATATAGAGATAATGAGATTATGATAATCGACCTAGTCGCACAGCGTTCTGGAAGGCCTATTGTGCGCATAAGCTTGATAAGTAGTTGTATGTGATAACTGATTATTACTAGGTGTAGTTTCATGTAGAACTAGGTGAAGTTTATACAGTGAGAGGTTGCTGTTTTTAATCAAAAACAACTGATCTGAAAAGCAAACACAGAAAAGGGCGATCAGACTTGCAGGTGGGGATGCAATAAGCAAAGTTATGAGGTATTAGGTAGTTATAAATAGAGCGTTAGCTAGAAATGCTACAATCAACTAAGTTCTAGAAGAAAATTAAGCCATTTCAAGGAATCAATTATTAAATAAAATCAAAACTAGTGTGGACATTTTGACTTATAAACAAATGGTGGATAAATCTGTAGGTGTAGTAAACTTTGAGGATAGACTCATTTATGTGTGACAAGTAATTAAGAAGTTATATCTACACTTAAGTTAAGTTAGGGCTGTTATTACTGCATTTGTGGATTATCTGTATTCCCAAATATGTCACACGGAGGCTTACAGAGAACTTTGTTGTGAAACAAAGGCCTCAAAGAAGATACTGACACGGTATAGAGGGGAAAAACCTTTTGTGATCAATGAATTCATTGATGTTATCGTCGTTGCAACAGTTTTCAATTTTTTATGATACGGAAAAGTCATCGACGTATGCAACGAAGTGGGATAGCCCACGAAGTGATGATTCCTTTATCATTTCCCCATTGGAAATAATGTGGAAAAAACCACTTTACATTTATGTGATTTTGGTATATGTGAACTTGTGATAATAAAAATAACTTATCATAACTGTGATATCGAAGAAATATTTCTTGTGTTACATTAGGTTCTATGTCATCAGTAAAAATTCTGAAAGTTCAAGAAGTTGCTTTTGCTTAGTTATAACATATCGAACATTGATTTATTCGAAATTAATGTACGCTGAGTACATATAGATTTGTTTATTTCATATGACATATTTTGTATATGAAAAAGCTCTACTCTTTTAGTCCCTTTTTACTTAAATACATGTGTTCTCTGATTTATAGTAAGTGTCTGTTTTTCACATTATAGCGGACACCTATTTTGTGTGGCATTGGATATCAATATACATTTAAGTTTTCTGCATTAAGTTGCCTGCAGATTAATGATAAGTACCAGAATGATCTCTTATAGTTATAGTCGAGTCTAAATATTAAAAACTTACGAAAATTGTATGTACATTTTAAATATGTGTATATTTCTTAAGTTAACTTTATTTACTACAAACCTTAGTTCTGGAATATTCATAACCATCAGGATTGACCACTGGAATTATGAAGAACCGTAATTTCCGTAGTACATCACGTTGTGTTGTATTCCGTTCGGTTAATTGATAAATGCAATTTAAAGCAACCGATATCGTTATCCATTCACGTGCATGTGTCCCTCCTTCAATAAAGATAATATCACGATTCTTCATATTACCTGAATCTTCAGTGGTTATTGGTTTAGGCTGATTTAAAGACATTTTACAGTTTCTGGGATCATACCAATTTATTTCAATGGCTGTTATTGGGCGATGTTCATAGGAATAACCGAGCATATGAATTTTAGTAAATAAAAACTTATTTTCTGTATATTCCAAATAGTGCAAGATCTGACTATGTGATAAGTAGGAATGAAGTACATTAGGTCTATACAACCCTACGATATGTCGCTGTTTTTTCAAAAACCGCTTGAATTTATTCTTATATTTTAATTGTGTTATTGAACAAGTCTTATCAGTTATGTCCGAATTACACATTTTGCATTGAAATATCACTAGAATTTTGTCACTGTTCACAATTTAAAATACACGCGTAAAATTTTTGATGTAGAGATATTAATAATTTTCACATATCTTATTTAAAAGATATTTTTTTATTTTTATCTTATAAATCATGACAGTGAAGTCAAAGCAATCTATATTTTAATTTGAACGAAATGCTTCTTCTTATTATCACTGGAAGCAACAGACTAAATTCTAGATTCTGAATTGGCTAGAACTCATCACAAAAAAAAAACATAAAAATCCTGCCAATATGTGCGTATATTTTCTGCCTTTTACTTTATTAATTTTTTGTTTTTTTTTTCGAGAAATAAATGGAGCAACCTTTAATAAGTTGGGTATGGTCGTTAAGCACGAAATATATTTTTTGCACATTGGTTTGGAATCAAAATTCTCATGTAAAAGTTTATGCTTTCGTACTTCACTTTTTCTCCTTTCAGTTATTTCTTATCTATATAGTTTATGTTCATATCTAAGCATACATCTATGAAACAATAAATGACTTCATTCGTTCTTATAAATGTGTAATGTAAATATGTACCTACATATATATGTACACGAGTACACGGGTATGTCTACTGAACCAGAAAAATGTCATCAGTTTGTTTTTTATTCAATATCACGCTTATCAACGATTTTATTAATCAAATGTATTGTAGATAGTTAGAAAAGAAATGGTGGATTACACTAATTTTTATACCCTGCAGACATTTTTCCATAAAAGCTAAAAACATTAAGTTTGTTAGAATGTTTGTAACGTGACTTAAGAGTCGTTGAAGAGCACTTAAGCCATATTCACGTACAATATGCTTTATCGGCAAGAGGATATGAAACGACAGACTTCAATATTTCAAGGACTGTTATCCCGAGGAAGAAGAATGATGCAGCTAATATATTTAGTTTTGGTTATCTGTTTGTTTACAAATTTGTTTATTAATTTTAAGTTCCATGGTACATTAGGACGAATGACATCCTCAGGGACATCAAGATTGATCCCATCAAAAAATACATAAAGGATAGAGCCTTGAAATTATTTGCGAAATCTAACAGACTTACCAACACCGCGTTATCAAATCTCAGATTGGTTACAGGCTCCTCGGGGAGGTATGCAGATCTGAGGTCAATTATTGTTTAGTCTAATGAAGTGATAAAGAAGAAACCTCGAGTTAAAAAAGAGTATTAGTGCTTAAGTGCACTAGCTCAAAACAGCTTCAACATAATAAAATACAGTATATAGACATTTTATGAACCCAGGGAATAAAATAGTAGAGAATGAATTCTTAAGAATTTGTTATGTTAATATGTATGGTTGTTTAAGGCAGTAACTGATGAGTAGATATCCTCCCGCTTCTCATAATGTAAGAGTATTCTTCGTTTTAATATAAAAACGAACATCCGCATCTTCGATAGAAGGACCAGGTGACCAACGATTTAAGTGCGCTCGGTACTACCAACTGACGACACCAAGCAACTGACTCACGTCTGTAATGGCCAACTAAGTAAGTAAGTGAGCAAAGGCTTGTACGCCCCTGGTAGCAAAACCTGAACTCATGAAATGTGTGGTGTTTTTTTTTTATTTTTCATCTAAGTTTCTACAACTTCGACAAGAAGTGTGAGAAGGTATGAGCAGTTTCTCTGCGTGGTTTATTATGGATTGACAATGGATTGAGACTATGTTGTTATTGTTATGGTAATGACACTTATTCATTTTCTAAAGACTAAAAAGTCATTCAAGTCTGTAGTTCCGCTTTTTATTGTAGAATTTGTTGGATTATTACAAAGTATGTGATATACTGATATATGCATCAACACGCATCTTTTAAACATAATCTGATCTGTTTCTGGTAGATCTGTTATGGATTGTAATTGTAAAAAGCCACTACTGAATACTTCGGGAAACTGGATTAGACAGCTTATCTAAAGGAGTACCATTGATTGTGTTAATATTTTCATTTGATGTCTTTCTGGGAAGTCATATTATTCATAGCTTTGTTCCGAGCCAGGAGAGGAATACTATAGTGAAGGCTCTTATTCCTGTCTGATGTTATAAGTCAATAAGCATTTCAAAGTACTACAAATTAATAAAATAGTAATATACAATTTCGTGTTAGGGTTGAAGTCAGGAGTGAAGACTACTATGTCGTTGTTTAATTAGTTACATAAAGTATACCCAGTTTTTTATTTGTTGTGGTTTCTACATTCTTCGAATATACAGCCATAGTACCATGAACAATTTGATATCTGTGATTTATAGATATTTCAGATCTGCATTTATTATCAATTCTTGTCGTAATAAGAAGAGTTGGAACACACTTTAATGTAGAGTAAGATTTATAACATCTTATCTGTTGTCCAAAGGCGTTGAATTTTTTAATATGTCCGTAATCCATTTGCAATTATTTGTAAGTTCTGTATCATTAAGCTAATACAAATAATTTATATTATTATAGAAATTAATTAAATCTTAAGTGTTAAAATATATGATTACTCAATTTCCAGACTTTATATAATTGACTGATTATAATGATTATAAATGCCAAATCCTAAATTAACATATGATAGATTTGTGATAGATTTGATTGTCAAATGCTATTAAAACAATGCTATCAAATCAGGACTACGAAAAGGATAACCATTTATAAATATTTTACAAATTTAACTTGTCTGATTTATTTACATTATAGCATATATCTGTTGTTTCTGAATGAATCTAAATAAAACCAAAATATTTTTTCTAGATATAATTCAAAAAAATGTATTTTCTGTAGCTCATGCCGATAACCGAGTTTAATGGTATTTTCCGTTTTTACTATAGCAGCTATTAACTTTCTCAGACGTCATGCCAGTCAGCTCATAACTTAAATGGCTCAAAAGCAGGGGTGTATGGATGTATGCAACTGGTTGATTTACTATTTCGTGCCGGCTTAATTTAACGGTCTTTAGTATTACATCCTAAAATGTCGTTGCCATATATTTTCAAAATAAGTTTTTTTAATATATTTTCTCATTTCCATATTTACAAATGACACGCAAAGGCGTTTTCCGGAGCTTTACAAAACGATTTCTTGTACTCGTACATATGTTAAATATTGAGTGTATTATGTCATTAACAAAAAAGGTTAAATAAAATGGAGAATTATTTTACGTAAACTGCTAAACTAGTAGATATGTAAGTAAGATGTCACAAACTATATATTTTTCAAAGTACTCGAACCCAAAACCAAAAGACGACTTAAACAGCTGTTGTCTGCTACTGGAGTTTGTTGTTTGCTTGTGGTACGACGATTCCGGAAGAAGAGTTCGTTGGTTTGTATATCGCCTTGTGTGTCTTTTAATTTTTATGCATAAAGTTATGTAGGTACAAGGATAAAGGAAGAACTTTTCGCTGGCAACATGAGAGCAATTACTAGGTTAAATTTTTGCTTTGTTGTTTGAATATTTAATATTTTTTTACGATTTGTAACAATTGTCATATTATTTGCTAACTCAATGATTAATAAACTTTTAAATTGGATCTCCACCAGGTACAAACTAACAGGATTAAGTTTGCTTTAATTATTTATACAAATTCAGATCATACTTTGCAACGAATAGGCAGACCTGTTGACTATATTTTCATTTCAGGCAATTGTATTCTATTTAACAAAGTCTGAGAAAGTCCAAAAATGTTATATTAAGAGGTTAATATGGACTATAATGGCACCAAATACTCATATATGTTACAACACCAAGCAACGAGTTCTTTAAGGCGTATCGGTGGTTGCAGACTCGCCAATCATCTTCTTAGTACCAAATGCGATATTTTTTATAATAATACATCTATTGAGACGAAAGAGGGCCTACTATTCACTCTGAAAATATTTATTTATGAAAATATTTATTTTGGATACATTATATATAAAATTATTCATATAATTTATAAATGCTTCTCAGATGTGGGCATTAATAGCAAGATACCAATTAGAATTGAATTAGTTATCAGCTGTTTGATTGTCGTTATATTTCAAAAAGTATCTATTGTAAAAAGATTTCGTTTGTTAACTAGATTTGAAAAACTTTATTTTATGAACTATTGTATAAGATATCGATCTGAAGAATTATATGTAAATGATATATAAAATTTTTATTCATTATGAATCCGTAACTTAACATAACTTGGAAAATACTTTTTGGCAAACCAACAACATCCTCAGGTGCACCGTTTTAATTTCTAAATAAAATTTTATTGAAATATTTTTACCATATAATAAAATAATATTGTATTTGAGCTATATTTAAAACAATATATATTATTGTTCATATTTTCAATTCTAATATTTCTGAAGGTAATTATTGTTTTGCCAAAAGCTACGCTTCTTATGAGACAAGGACTTAATTATTTTTCATAAATCAATATAAATTTCTTTGTTACTTGTTTTTTTTTTGCTATTCGAAATCCTTCTAAATTTTTAAAATAAGACTCTTATGAATAAAAATAAGTTCATATAGAATAATATTTTCGACCAATATAATTACTTTAAAGTTATTCTTTTACTTCAACACTGTTCCAAGATCTTGAATTTGTTAATAGTATATATTATAACATTAATAATTATATAATGTATATCTATTGTGTTTTTAAAGCTTTAAGATTAACTTTTGGGTTGGGTTATCATATTCTATGCGTCATGTTTCTGATTGCAATTTTCTTAAGATTATTAGATTATTGCTATATATAAATAACTTATAAATATTATATTATATATATTATATAATATATATTATATAATATATTA